TTGTTGTGCAGTTTTGTTAAAACACTGAATTTCACAAACGTAGACTGAGAAATTATGTTTCATATGCAGGTTTTGTCAAGCTTTTTAGTTGCATCCTGTATATTATATCTGCATTGTAGCTTTTCGCCCACTCTATTATTTCCATTAAGTCTAATTCTTCAAAAGAAACCTAAAGCATATTTCCCTCTCTTGCTTTGTATATAGGGTGTTAATAAACTTATGTCAAATATTTTTGCCATATGTTCATTATGTCAAAATGAGGTAAATACATGGATTTGTGTTGAGTAAAATGTAATTTTAAAATCTGACTTACCTCAACATTTCAAGGAGCCACCTTTTGAGAACTGCTGATTTTCATAGAAGATGCTCGATGTACCCACCATTTGCCTGCATACAAGCTTTAGCGCGACGTATCCAATTCGCTCGCACGCGTTGCAACATTGCTACGTCCACTGGAATCATATTGTAAGCTTCGGCAATACGATGAAGCAGTTGATCGATGTCACGAACTTTCGTGGAATACACAATACTATTCACATATCCCCACAAAAAGAAGTCTAAAGGGGTGAGGCCCTCAAAAGAGAACTTGAAAATACGGCTATTAAATGTACTCTTGAAAAACAGTACAGCAATCACTACAACAATATATTAAAACTGACTTTCGAATACAGCCTGACTTCATAAGAAACCTATAAACTCGTAAAAAGTGTTACAGAATTTTTTGTAAGTACTTGCCGCGATAAAATATATGTATTTCAGCAGTTACAAAACAGTTTTAAACACATTTTTAATTAGCTTTTTTCTCTATGATCTTAAACTTCCAATGCAAGTTTGTGCCATCAGTTAACTCAGTTTTGCTCCTTTTTCACCCCCTTTAGATTTTCGACCATAATTCCATTAACACCCTGTAGAAAGAAATTAAATACTTCCTCTTGGATTTACTGCTTCACATAATGATTAGGGAAACAATATTCTTAAAATTCATTATACAGATACACCCGTTCAATTACGTTTTGCCCAATTTTGAAGAATATTTAGTAAATCTATTTTATTTAGACTATATCGTTCAAGTGACGCAGTTGACGTTCAAACACACGAACGCAAAATCTCCATTATTTCAAATATAATTCATCGGCGTGTAATGTATGCCACAACTCCTTGACTTGACAAACTAGTTGTGTCCTCGGTATTAGCGAACTTCGAAAGTCGTATGACGCGTAGAACTGACTTTCTTTCCGTGGAACTTCTGTTTTTGTCCCATCCCCTCTGATTAACGATAATAAAACATCGAATTACTCTCCAGGGTCGTTTGTCGAATCTTGGTGGATTTATAAATAAGAAATAGGGCTGCTGGCCGAGATTTACGACATAAGAGCCGGTTAGTTTCCATGGCCCAAATGTACCCGTTGAGTGGGGATCGTTAAAAAATATATAGGGCAGCAGATGCCCATAAATCTGAGCTGAAAAATAAAAAGGTCTTCGTGGCTGTGATTTCGAAATAATTTAAACTGCATAAAAACTTACGTCTGGTTAAAAACATGTTTCGGTGCTTAGGGGGTTAAAAATTTCACACTGAGAAAAACTGAGACGTAAAAAATGTAAAATAGACGTCACTGATACGTGGGCAACAAATTAATCAGAAGATTTGAAAACCATCACTCGTGATTTTGGATTTTTTGACATTTCAACACTATTTGTAACAAAGTGTCGCTTTAGAAATTGTAAATAAGAAATTATATAAAAACTCTACGACTCTAAAGATTAGACCGCATAAAACTTGCATAGGTTTATTCCACAATGTTCCAGAATAATCCGTTTTAAATACATTACAAACACCCTTAAGTCATTTATTTTATTCTCGGCCATCTGCGCTTTTATATGTAGTCACCTTTCTCATATTTATATGGAAATATTGCCAGCAAGCGAACCTACTAAAGAATATTTTATGAAAAAATTTGTTTTGTAAAAAAATTAAAATACCACCATGTGTCTTTCGATATACAAAAAAATATTTACTTCTGGATTGCTCTGATATTTCTCGTAGCACGGTATCTCTTGCATTGGAAACCAGAAATTTAGACAAAGAAAAATATATTATCGTATCTGAAACCTTAATTTGGTGGTGAAAATTCGAAATACTTGAAATTATTCAATTTTCGTGGCTGAAAACATACATAGGTATTGTATTCTCGGAACCGAGAGAGTTGTACTAAACCAAATTTGGAGAGGACACAGTTAATACAATGCGAAACATCGCCTTAATGTTACAAATGTTGTCACCGCCGTTCTTGGGGGTGAAAATTCGAAATATTTGGAATTATTTAATTTTCGTGGCTGAAAATATACATAGGTATTGTATTCTCGAAACCGAGAGATTTGCACTTAACCACATTTGAAGAGGACATAGCTAATACAACGCGAAACATTGCCTTAATGTTGAAAATGTTCTCACCGCCGTTCTTGGGGGGTGAAAATTCGAAATATTTGAAATTATTCAATTTTCGTGGCTGAAAACATACATAGGTATTGTATTCTCGAAACCGAGAGAGTTGTACTAAACCAAATTTGGAGAGGACACAGTTAATACAATGCGAAACATCGCCTTAATGTTACAAATGTTGTCACCGCCGTTCTTGGGGGTGAAAATTCGAAATATTTGGAATTATTTAATTTTCGTGGCTGAAAATATACATAGGTATTGTATTCTCGAAACCGAGAGATTTGCACTTAACCACATTTGAAGAGGACATAGCTAATACAACGCGAAACATTGCCTTAATGTTAAAAATGTTNAACCTTGTTTCAGTTCTTACAACTTTTCTCAGATTATTAATGAGGCCACTAGAATTACTTGTACCTCTAGTACTTTAATTGATCCTGTGTTTATTACTAATACTTACATTGTTGAATCTTTTGGAACAATTGCTGCTGACGGTATATCTGATCATAGAATGGTATTTTGTAACCTAAAATTTACTAATAATAAAATAGTGCCTAGAATTATTTCATACCGTTGTTTTAAGCACTTTAATTTGAACGATTTTTTAAATGATTTGTATAATGTATCTTGGTTTGAGATGATTTATGAAAATAATCTTGATAAAAAGATCTCGATTTTTAATAAATTTTTAACAAGTCTTTTTGACAAGCATGCTCCTGTAAGAAAAGTAAGGGTTACTAAACCTCGAGCTCCTTGGCTGACTCCTAATCTAAAATTTATCATGAAACAAAGAAATAAGGCACTTCAAAAATTTAAACGTACTCGCGAGCATACTGATTGGTTACATTACAAAAATTTACGAAATTACTGTGTCTCTATGGTACGACAAGAAAAAAAAGGGTACTTGGAATTTATTGCTTCTCAAAAAAATAGTAAACGGACTTGGAAAGCTCTTGACTCTCTCAATATTCGATCTTGTAAAAATTTTATTTTGCCACCTCAGATGACTGACCCTAATGAAATTAATGACTTTTTTGCTTCATTTTTGAGGAATGTCTCTAATAATTGTGATGACCAACTTTTATTTAATGCAAATTTAATTTCCTTTTTTTTGACAATTAAAATTTTTCTGACATATGGAAATATCTGACAGATTATATAATTTAATTTCTAAAATGACATTTCAACAAGTTTATATTTTTACAACTTTTCTACTAACCTAATCTTATCTATATTTCCACATTTCGACTATCCAAATCTGCTTAAACCCAAATGATGCTCTGCTTCGTTATAAATTATATCATCCTGCTTATCACGTCTCTTTATCCGGTTAGAAATTTCCACAAATTACTCTTATTCCTGTATGTAGTTCTCTTCTAATTTACTTTTCTCTTAACGGTATTTCTTAATTTTTCCTCTTCCACTCTTACTATTCTTAAATTTTGTTTTGAACAAACCTCTTCAGCTTTCCTTTTATAGATACTGTGTCAACTCATATATTATATCTAATAAAATTTTCTTTTCTAGATTTGTCCTCAATACTTTAAGTTAATAAATCAAATTAATCTCTACTATTGACTATATCTGTCTCTATAAATAATTTAATTTCCTCTTTAACTAAATTTATAATCAACCATCAAAATTCTTATTATCTTTATACTACATCCTAACTACATTCCAAAACA